GGTGGCTACAAGCATGGACGGCTTCAAAAGGGAATTAGATAAGCATATGGAGCAGAGGTCCATCGGTGGCTATTAGCCACAAGGTATAGATAGGGACTCTGGGGCAAGTGATGCTCTGTCTTCTTGGTGCTTGGGGGTGGGGGGCAACAGAGGGAGGGCTTCTGGTGTTGTGGCCCCACTGCTGGACCTCCTGGTGGCACCTGGTATTTTTGGCCACTGTGTGACAGAGTGTTGGACTAGATGGGCCATTGGCCTTATCCAACATTAGCTTCTCTTCTGTTCTTATGTCTGGGGCCAGTGATGCTCTGTATTCTTGGTGCCTGCAGGGGTCAACAGTGGGAGGGCTCAAGGAGTTCTGGCCCCCACTGCTGGACCTCCTGATGGCACCTGGTATTTTTGGCCCTTGTGTGACACAGAGTGTTGGACTGGATGGGCCCATTGGCCTGATCCAACATTGGCTTCTCTTATGTTTTTATGTACACCAAACTGGCCCTTAGAGCCGAGCCCTGAGATGAGGGGGGGGGGACTTAATCCATCATGCTGGGGAAAACGTGGGGTCCTCTTAAAAATTTAAATCCCCCCTGAAAAAAATCTTAGCTACGGGCCTGGTGAGCAGACAGACTCTGCTGATCAGTCCAAGAAGCTGAAGTCTGGTCTGCCGGAGGAGTTTCCACTGGGCACACCAGGAAAAGTGGCGGATTGCAACTGAGCCTCTTCCCCTTTTGCTCAGCCTAAGACCCCTCCCCTTTCCTGCCGTGCTGAGATGAAGAAGAGCCTCTGGCCTGGAGAGTCTATATGCACAGCCAGCGCAGGGCTTGTCTAGGGCTATGTCAAGGTATTTTGTGACCCCCAAGTAAGGTACGCCTGGACCTGCATGCCCCAAGCAAGGCTGATCCTGTCAGATCTCAGAAGTTTAAGCAGGGTCGAAGAAGAAGAAGAAGAAGAAGAAGAAGAAGAAGAAGAAGAAGAAGAAGAAGAAGAAGAAGAAGAAGAAGAAGAAGAAGAAGAAGAAGAAGAAGATGGATTTATACCCTGCCCTTCACTACCTGAAGGTGTCTCAGAGCGGCTTACAAACCCCTTTCCCTTCCCCTCCCCACAACAGACACCCTGTGAGGTGGGTGGGGCTGAGAAAGCTCTGACAGAAACGGCTCTTTTTCAAGAACAGTTCTTGTCAGAACTACGGCTTGCCCAAGGTCATCCAGCTGCTGCAAGTGGAGGAATGGGGAATCAAACCTGGTTCTCCCAGATTAGAGTCCGCGCACTGAACCACCACACCAAACGGGTTAGTCCTTGGGTGGGACATGGGAGACCCCTCAGGAAGTCCAAGACAGGCAGTGGCAAACCACCCCTTGCCTTGAAAACCCCACAGAGTCTCCTTAAGCCAGCTGAACCTTGATGGCGCTTCCCCCGACCCCCACCCCTTCTGCCCTGGTCTAGATAGCCCACGCAAGCCTACCAGGTCCTTTCCCCACTTGGACCTTGTTATGTATGCGGACCGCCACCAGGGGTCCGCGGCTAAAGCAGGCGCTTGGTCCCCAAACACAAAGGGGACCGAGGATCCTAGTCCACCTCGAGTCCACCAATAGCACCCTTGGCGGGAAATTCAAACTCTCCAATGGGGACAGAGGTGTGCCGGGTGGAGTGTCTATAGTTGGCCTTGCAGGGCCATTTTTCCTTGTCTTGTTGTGGAGTACAATTAAACGCGTCTGAATACATGTCATAGTCCGAGTTCTCCATGCGTCAAACCCAGTAGACCTCATCCCTGGTTTGATCAGAGTTCATCTCACGACATAATACCTTGCATTTTACCCCTGGTTATAACAGCATCCGTTTATCCCGGGACAAATGCTCCCTCTAAGCTGTGGAGCCCTGTGAGCAAAAATTCTACTTTCTGAGCTACTGGCATTAAAGTTGTGAGCGAGCAACTCGGCTGCTGCATAAATCAGTTTGCTCTGGAGCCGCCCTTCCTGAGCTAAGACAAAACTGTGTGAGCCGGAGGCTAAAAAACTGTGAGCTAGCTCACACTAACTCAGCTTAGAGGGAACACTGCCTGGGACAAGCGGGGGGCAAAACCAGGGTGACGTCAATGTAATGTGGAAACAAAAAGCACCCCGAGACAATTCCAGGGGTGAACTCAAGCGCAGTGTGGACTGTAAGTGAACCAGGATTGAAGGTCTAATGCGGAAAGGACCCCAGGCTCATCTGATCTCGGAAGCTAAGCAGGATCGACAGCACTGCACACACACACACACACACACACACACGGTTCACACCTATGGAATCCCAACCCTCAGCTCCTGCCCTCACTGGCTGCATCCAAGCCAGTTTCCTGCAACGGCACTGGGTATATGTCAGGACGGGTCCCAGGGAAAGGTGCTGCCTGTCACCTGCTGTGCTGCTCAGAGCTGGGGAATAAGCAGTGCCCCTGAGCAATGGTCCCTGTAAGCTGTGGAGTCTTGTGAGCAAAAATTCTACCTTGTGAGCTACTGGCGTTAAAGTTGTGAGCGAGCTATTTGGCTGCTGCATACATTAGTTTCCTCTGGAGCCGTCCCTTCCTGAGCTAAGACAAAAATCTGTGATCCGGAGGCTGAAAAACTGTGAGCTAGCTCACACCGACTCAGCTTAGAGGGAACACTGCCCCCGAGTAGCCTTGGTGGCTTCCTCACTGTGCCACCCCAAACAGTCTCTGGGCTACAGACCTGGCCCTGGACTAACAGGAACCAGCAGTGCATATGGGAGAAGGCCCCCCCCAAAAAAAGTCCCCTATGCCGTGCAGACTAAGCCTGCCACAGCTCTTCCACCTGTGGCAAGCCCAGCCTAGCAGGACCCAGATGGGGGAGCCTTTTCGGGCTCCAGGGGAGGCGCAGAAGGTCCCGCTGTTTGCTCTGCCAAGACCCTGCCAAGCTTTTCAGCAGGTCCCAGCTGTTGGCACTCCCAGGAGCCTTGTCCACAAAAGAACCCACCTTTTCACGCTCTGTCGCCCTCGCTCCTGGTCACAGCAGCAGGAAACACTGCTCTGCCCCCCCCCCCGAGAGTAACTGGAGCTACAGGCGTGGCTGCACCACCCCATGGAAGGAGGCCAGATGTAGGGGGGTGGGGCGGGTACAGCAGGTGACAGAGCAGCCCCCCCCCATGGAGAGGAAAGGCGAACGATGCACCTACTGGGCAGCGAGGGGAGAAGAGCGGCTCCTTCTCCAAGGATACAATGCAGCACAGGTGGCTCGGGGCTGCAGCGACAGGGGGACTGGGTGTCCCCACGATGGTGCTCAGCAGGGCTATTTTGGGGCAGGAACGCACAGGAACGGAGTTCCGGCTGGCTCCTGAGTTGGCCACGCCCAGCAGGAACTCATTAGCATAATAGGCCACACCCAACAGCAGGAACTCATTAGGATTGGCTACATTAGGGGTGTGTGGCCTAGCATGCAAAGGAGTTCCTGCTACAAAAAAGCCCTGGGTTTGGGCAACAAACAAGGTAAACAGAATAAGAAGCAAAAGGTGGGTGTGGCTGGACGGCAACACTTCTGGTAACATGGGGTGTGGCCTAATATGCTAATGAGTTCCTGCTGGGCTTTTGCTACCAAAAAAGCCCTGGTGCTCAGATCCAGGCAGGGGGCTTCCAAGCCAGGTGATCTGTAGTCCCCACAAACTGTGGAAGGACTGCGGCTGCATTCCTCCACCTGATCGACCATCCACCGCACTTCCTTTCCCCTCTCCAACCTCCCCTGGCACCGTTGCCCATCTTGGGTTGCCAAGTCCCCCCCCCCGCCACTGGTGGGGGGGGGGTTATACAGTTGCCAGATCCAGGTTGGGAAACTCCTGAGACTTTGGGGAAGTCCCCTGTGCCGTGCAGACTAAGCCTGCCACAGCTCTTCCACCTGTGGCAAGCCCAGCCTAGCAGGACCCAGATGGGGCAGCCTTTTTGAGCTCCAGGTCTGCTCTGCCAAGACCCTGTCAAGCTTTTCGGCCGGTCCCAGCTGTTGGCACTCCCAGGAGCCTGTCCACAAAAGAAACCCACCTTTTCATGCTCTGTCGCCCTCACTCCTGGTCACAGCAGCAGGAAACGCTGCTCTGCCCCCCCCCAGAGTAACTGGAGATACAGGCGTGGCTGCACCACCCCATGGAAGGAGGCCAGATGGAGGAGGGGGGCGGGGCGGGTACAGCAGGTGACAGAGCAGCCCCCCCCCCGTGGAGAGGAAAGGCGAACCGATGCGCCTACTGGGCAGCGAGGGGAGAAGAGCGGCTCCTTCTCCAAGGGTACGATGCAGCTCGGGGCTGCAGTGATAGGGGGACTGGGTGTCCCCACAATGGTGCTCAGATCCAGGCAGGGGGCTTCCGAGCCAGGTGATCCGTACTGTGGAAGGACTGTGGCTGCCTTCCTCCACCTGATCGACCATCCACCGCACTTCCTTTCCCCTCTCCAACCTCCCCTGGCACCGTTGCCCATCTTGGGTTGCAAAGTCCCCCCCCCCGCCACTGGTGGGGGGTGGGCTATACAGTTGCCAGATCCAGGTTGGGAAACTCCTGAAGATTTGGGGGTGGAGCCTGGGGAGGACAGGGACCTCAGTGGGGTACATAATGCCACAGAGCCCACCCTCCAAAGCATCCATTTTCTCCCAGGGGAACCGACCTCTGTCTGTAGTCTGGAGATGAGCTGTAATTCCGGAAAATCCCCAGGCCCCACCTGGATGTTGGCATCCGTATGCCCACCCCCTGGCCAAAGCAACCCAATGGCAGTACTTGAAGGGCTGTCATTATAGAGGATGGTACGGAGTTGTTTTCTGTTGCCCCAGAAGGTCAGACTAGAACCAGCGGGTTGACATTAAATTAGAAAAGTTTTCGGCTGAACGATAGGAAGACCTTCCTGACAGTTCGAGCGGTTCCTCAGTGGAACAGGCTTC